GGATTTGGAGATGAGTGCAGTAATGTGCAGTAGGGGATTAGGGTCCATGCATGGTTCGTGGAAGGGCTTGGGAACCGTAATTAGCAAGGTTGGGAGTTCAGGGAGTTGGTTGGAGGATGTTCAAGGGCAACCATGGAAACAGGTGAAGCAGGAGATTAGGAGCTCCGGGGTCTGGATTCCCGGTGACCTGAAACAACAAACTGTGTGGTTGGTTCGCGGTTCCAGTCTTGGATTGAGAGTTGAAACATGAGGGGGCAGCTTTTAGCAGAGGAAAATGGTCTGTGGAAGCAACAAGGACTACAACTATTCAACTATACAAAAATCTGAGTTTCACGGTTCTCAAATATGTCTGCACTCAATTGCCGGGCGTTGTGCTGTTGTAAAGAACCAGGGCACAGCATGGCATCGCGTCGTGCAGCTACAAACTGGGCTAGCACACACATCCCTTAACATCTTCCAACTGTGGACCGGGTCCCCTACACTGCGCCCTATACTTTTTAGGCTAACTGCCCTTCAAAGAAAAAGTTGCTTGTTTACGGCAATTGTGGTACATATCAGGGCTGCAAGATCCAGAGCCATCAGTTCTAGCAGACGGTGTCAGATTGTGCATGGAGCCCAAAATCTAGCGCAGCCAGTGGAGGCATCTAGTTCCTCATGTAGATTTAACCTGCGAACGCTATATGCCACCTGGTGCAGGCGCTGCTGCAGCTGAAGGCTAAGCTGATGCTCATCAAGGCTCAGCTTTCCTTGTTGGGTTCAGGATTCAGGGCTGCGGGTTTCCAGGCCAGGGGCTGGGTTCTATGTGGACCATGCAGGATTCTGCTGGCTCTACTATTTATACCAGTTGCAGAGAGATGAGCCGGAGGATTCAAGACGATCGTCCAGACTTGATCGCGTATTTTAGATCCTGAACTGACAAAAGATCCCTTCATTTGGATGCTGCGCTGGTGCAACCCTCCATCACTAACTCTGGTTAGTGGCCTTGTGTACTGAGGCTATCGATTTTTGTGATTTGTAGGTGGGTCGCGCGAAGACTACAAGGGGCTCTGCAGCAGTTTACCTTTGAGGGCCTGGAGTTGCCACAAGCAGGAGCAGCGGCGGCAGAAGCAGCAAGGGGAGAAGTACGAGAAGAAGTGGTCATGTGTTGTGGTTGCAGTAGTCCTCGGAACAGTGCTAAGGCCAAAAGAAACTCCATGTTGAAGAAGCTCTCATGCCAGCTTCTCGCTCACATGCATGCCTGTAGAGTTGGGACCGGGCCAGTGGTTTCTTGGACTTCTGAGGCTCCGAGCTTAAAAATGACAGTTTTCATAAATGGAGCAACGCGGCACAGGCTGCCAATTCAATATTTTCCCCGCAGCTGCAAGTACATGTTCGCTAAGCCGTTAGGTGACCAGTATTTTGATTTCAAGTTAGCTACATGGTCACGGCAACACATCTCTGCCCGACCTGATCACGGAAAATTGCAATGCATGGCAATGATGCAACTTGCGCATCGGATCCATGCTGAAGATCTCAGGGTATAGTATAGACAGGATTGCTTTAGAAATTGAAATTCCTCCGATTTGGACGCCTTTTTGAAAGGGGTGTCTCCAGTGAATTATTGAGAACCCCCAGAGTGCTGCAGGAGCAGCAGCGGGTTGAGGAGCTCAAGGAAATTCGCGGAGACCTGGTCTCTGCGCAGCACCAGCCCTACAGGGAACAGGGCTTTAACTCATGCTTTAGGGTTGGGACTTGTTAGGATTTAGGGTTGAAGGTTGAGGGTTGCGACTTGTAAGGTTACACATAGCAGGGCTGGGGATTAGGGTTCTAAAGTCTAGGGTCAGGAGAAGAACCCACTGATCTCGAGAATCCACTTGACCATCGTGAAGTAGCACTGGGCTATAGCAAGGTCACTACCTTACCCCAACCCTTGCTAATGACTGTGTGGCTAAAGCGATGTTGTTCTGCTTCCTGTTTATGTTCATTTCTGATTTATTGGGATGCTGTTCCTGCTGTTCTTCCAACCAATCATCTTCAAAACCTGTTTCGCACATGAATATGCTGATTCGTGTTCGACCCTGCAGTTCGATTGCATTCAGGAATCTGGTTGAAGGTGATGCGGCCTGTCTACTGCACCAGCTAAATGTGCCAACAGCTGTGCTCCATACGGGCGACGTTCAAACGCTGTCAAGTTGGTTTTGGGGTCCTGGACATGCGGCATTCATGTCATCCTGCTTGTTTGTGATTTACGCGTAGGGAGTATTGAGTTTCAGGCTTTGTCCGAGCTTTCGGGGGTGCAGGCTTGCGGGTGAGTGGTTGGGCTTTTGGACTGGCGTAGCGTTCTGGCCCCAGGAGGTTGTTCGGGCAGAGGTGGTCATTGCATTTTATGCTGGGTGACATATGTCCGAAACAAAACTTTGGTAAAACATACAGTAGTGACTTCGAGCATCCCCCCCCCCAAAACTGTAGTTGTCCAGCACTTAGAGTTGTTGGCCGTTTCTGGGCAACCTTACTCAGCCTATCTCCTGGGAGATAGAAAGTTTCAGCTTGTTAAAGCTTACATAGCATGCCTTACAAATGTTATAATGCCTGCATAGGGCCCGTTTAAAGAGGTTATACAGGCTAGAAGGGTCCTGTGATTCCTGGGTTATGAGGCCTACAGGTTATAAGGACTCTATAGGGTCTCTGATAAAGCTTGCAGGGATACTGCGGGTTTGGTTCCCGCAGGGATATGTGGGGGTTGGGCACTGCAAGGATGCGCTGCTGTCTGACACTGTAGGGATACTCTGCGGTTCATGGGTTGGAGAACATAGACTTCTGTGAGGGTGGGCAACAAAGAGATTTTTGGTGGGGGCCTTGCAATCAGGACCAAAATGTTTTCATGTCTTTTCAGAAGCCGAATAGGGGACCTCCATAATTCCGAGCAGCGCCCAAATCCTGAACCCTGAGAACCTATGGCCAAGGTGGGGAGCCCAGGCTGGGATGTGCTCCCTTGTTGATGTTCATGTTTTGAGGGCATTTTGTGAAGGGTCAGTTGCGGATGGTTGGATTTGGGGGCTTTGTGCCACACAACAATGCTCTAAAGATGGTCAGGCTCTAATATCTATAGCTTTTTTTGCGGTTTACATGATTTTCAATGATTCTTGCACATGGATAGGGACTCCGCGCAGGGTATGGCGACAGCATGACTCGCCAAATTAACAGTCCCGGACAGGACGTCCGAAAGCATTCTGGGATCGCAATTGCCTTGTGTTGGTTTGGCGGCGTTTGGGGCCGAGAACGTGTTTGGCCTACAGAGAACTAGCAGGCAGGTCAAGGTTTCTTTTTGTCTGCCAGGTGCGGAATTATGTGCTGCAGCCGTACACCATGGTTAAGGCGCCGATGCTCATATTGATGAGCCCACCAGTGCCAGAGCCTGTAGAAGGTCCACGCTCACCTGGCCTTCAAGAGCAGGGTATCCTCATCTCATGGAGGGTGACGATGCATGAGAGTCTCACAGCTTCGCAGACAATCCTGGTAGAAGCGAACGGCGTAGGTTCGCGTTGCACATGTGGAAGCCCTTAAAGAATTATGGCAGTGACACCTGGCCAGCAGCATGAAGAGCATCTGCCAGGTAGCAGGTTGTACTCAGGCTGCCCGCACTGCCATCGCCACCGCCACCGACGCACCAACAATTGCTGCTCCTAATGCTGGTTTTGCTGCTGGTTTTGCGGCTGCTGCAGCTGTCAGCTACATCTCAGTACAGCAGCCGCACTTCTGTGCTCACCGTTTCTGAGGTTGTCTGGTAAGTCTGGTATGCGTCTATTCAGTCCTTGCATCACTGCAAGTTGCTTCCCGCTTACACTCACAAACTTCCCCTTCCCTAACAAATTAGATGAATTGCCGATCTGATCTATGCAGTGGACCGAAGCTTGATGTTCAGAGAGATAGGTAACGTCGAAGTGGAGTGCTTGGAACGTTGAGGGGGAGGGCACTATCAAACGTCTTGCTTCAGGACGTTCGCTCCGGGCATGAACGCGGTGACGCAGACCGCGTGCTTGATGGGGTGACATTGCTGCAAATTTTGACAGGGATTATAGATTGTAGGGGTGCAAGGGGGCCCACGATGGTTCTGGGGTCGTTAGGACTTTTGCAGCTGCTTAGGGGGATTGAAAGATTGGTGATTGGGGTGTTTCTTCTGGGTCCTGGTGTGTAGAATCCACATGCCAAAGTATGCCTTCTCGGGCCGCTAAGCGTTTACTTTCCCGCGCCCCATGCATATGAAAATCTTCATGGCCTGGTACATCATTGTTAGGCGCCTGGACGCTCATAAGTTGCATGACTTCAGCACTTTCTGGCAGCCATAATGTCTGCCAAGAAACGGAAGCCTGCGAAGCCACAGCATTCGTGAATGGAGGTCAGCATGCCAGTCACCTCCACTGCTTGAAGGTTTTGAGGTTTTTCAGCCATCTGTCCAGCTATGCCAAGCCTGTACGGACTATTCCATATTTGAGGCAGGGGGGTTGTTTGTATTGTGGCAGGACTTGTGATTCTGGACCCCAAGCGCAGGCCTGAAACGCTAGGCGCCTAAGCCATGAGCTTGAACCCTTTACCGCAGTGGTCCCTTAGCCTCAGCTTACCTCCGCTCCCTTAGAAGTTCCTCAGCCACTCAAGGACCTGGACTCCCATGTGGATGCACTTCTGCGGATGCAGACGGAGAGCGAAAAGAGAGCTTCAGCAATGCTTACTTCTTGTGCAAGGAATGTCATGCTGCGGGGAGCAACCATGATGTCAGAAATAATGGGAGTAGGGTATGTGGCGCTTCTGTTTCCTTCGAGGCAGAAGGTGACACAAACACCTTGGAGAACTGAGGATGCGCCGCGTTGACAGTGAAGCACCGGTCACTACTTAGCCGAGCAAGTGAACCTCAATGTCCTATCTGCTGCCATGAAAGAGCCTCAAGAAGCCAGCATCGGAGTTGATGCCAATATTTAAAAACTTCAAGCCTTAGGAATCCTTGCAAACGAGTGCAGTAACCCGCCATGGCTCGTGCAAAGATGTCGTTCGTGCTGGCCGCAGCGGCTGCGGTGGCGCTTTGCCGCAGCGCGGCCTTTGTGGCTGCCCCCAAGGAGGTTGGATTCCATCTACAGACTATTCTCATCGCAGCTGTGCCAGAGTACGCAGGATTTAGTTTGCGTGTTTTGTACAGGTGAGATTGGGAAATCGTTGATAAGATCACTGAAAAGGGTGATGTGTTCTTTTATGAGCTCTACTGGGGATATGTAGTCAGATTTTTTAGCCGTTTGTTTCGGTGGGGCTCTGCTGTTGGAGGCCCATTTGAAAAGAGGAACATTGAAGTCTGACAGCCCATTATTCGATTTTCCCTGTACCTGCTAATCCCTTGCCATGAATTCTACTCCACGCTACAATTGTGTAGGCTTATATACTTACTTCAGCATGCCAGAGTGCTGGGCAATGTTCTTAGCCCAACGGTTAATAGCATCTCCTCCAACCGTATATCGTACATTGAGCAGACTCCTTTGTTGAGCTTTCACTCTTCAACCATGGCATGTGGTGCACACATGCCTTGCCATCTTTTTTTCGGACCAGCTAAAGCCCTCAAGTCCCTTGAACTCCAAACCACTACAGCCTATAGTTAGCCCCCAACCCTTACATGTAATAGTGGTATAATAGGAATATAAGAGGACCCTAATATATTCCTTATTATCCGTTATAGTCACTATTACACCAGTACCTCAATTGCAAACCTGAAGCTGTTGTGGCGCCAGGTGCCTCGCGCAGAGGTCCTGGTGCCAGCAGCTCTGGCGCCCATGATGCGTGGGCCCCGGTCGTTAATAAATCTCCACTATTCTGCCTTGTTGACTATTCGGAGGATCGGGCCATTTTCTTATCTGTTTTTGAAAGCCGGGCAGGGGAGGGGATAGGTAGGGTGCTGTTCTGGGTTTGGGTTTTAGAGGTTGGGGTTTTCTTTTTTTGCGTTTCGAGCTGCGCTCTGGGTCCATACAGGTAAAGGTTTCTCATAGGTGAAGCAAGGGGATGCGAGTGGGTATATTCCAACTTGGGATTCGCATCCCCAGATATCTGGTAACCAAGGAATACATTCTGAGCCACTTAAAGCATGCTTTTAACCTGATTGCAAACCGTGGTGCACATTCTTTTTAGCAAGGTTCTGAAGGAGTCCTGCCCCGAGTGCTCCAAGTAGCAGTGGCCCTTAATGTACTTTCAGTAAGCTATGTGAGCTATTCAGAGTGTGTGCCTAGGGCCCAGATTTGAGACATACACGTCTGGTCATGGCAACCCGGTATTGGCTTCCAAAATGGGGGCCAATAAAATTGAGAACCAGGCACGTGTGTTCGCTCAGGATTCTCGAGCCAGCCTGCGCCCAAAGGATGGAAGGTGACTTCAAAGCTCCGCAGCGTCTGGGCTCGCCGTAGGTTTTGGTGTTACATCTTCTTTACAAATCAACCTTAACCCTAGATTCCTAAACTATTGAGTTACACAAAAGGGCACTTCAGGTACAACGAAGCAGAGCCGACGTCCGACTTAAGCTACCTGCTCTTCTTCACTGCCGTCCCTGGGCGTTTAGAAAACAATACCATACTTGTTGCCTTACTCCTGTTGGGTAGTTCCTTAGTCTTTTTTTCTGGTTGTTGTTAGTTTTACAGGAAGCGCAAAAGACTAAGTCTTTTGCTACATTCTGAGAGGGGGATAGGTTAAATTCCATATACAGCCAGGTAAGAATATTCGTCTTTACGTGGCCTGCATATGTTTGGCTCAGGCACTACTCGTCTATGTGGGCAAGACTGCTTTCGATAAGACTGGAGCCAAGAGCCTGGGTGACGCGGTGAACAAGTGAGTGGATAGGTTTTCTCCTCAAACTAAGCATGGAGCCTCATCAAAAACCTGAGAGATTACTGTGCCTTCTTTCGCGAGGGGCTTCATGGAGCTCCATGGGTGTTCGGAGGAGAGTGCGGCTCCCAATCGGGAGTAAAGCAACATTTTCCTGGAGAACTGACTGTTAATCACTTAGCTTTACAAGAAGAACTGCTCAAGTGAAGTGGTTCTTGGCAGCATAGCGTGCCAGCTCCTCCAGATACCAGGCAGACCGGATGCAAAAAGTCAGATAAAACTCAGTACAACAGTGTCTTGGCAGGATGCAGGAGAATGGGTTTGGGTCGCCAACCCCATGGGACTCGCGTAAACAACTCAGACGTGTTGCGCACTTTTTCGGGAACAGACACCTACGGCATGCCCTCGTTTGTGTGCTATCAAACTCGTGCTGACATATGGACTGAACAGGCCAAGCCTGAAAACACGCCGCAGGCCTTCACAGATCACAGCTTGCAAGATACGGAAGCCAACACATGCAAGATCCAGACCCTGTGCCTCACAAGGCACTGCGGGCCGTCAGATTGGTTCTTGAGGGTAGGAGATGTAGGTGTTGTAGAGAATCATGTAAGTGTGGCGGCTGAGACAGTGACCAATATTTGGCCGTGAGGCCTTTAAGACTTCTTTGGAAACGCATGTTTTGGGTAGCGGCAGCGAGGGCATCAGAAGCCAGAGGCAGCTAGATCAACAGGACGTGGAGCACCATCAGTGGAAGATCAGCTATTGGCCTGTTGCTTCCTTTGCAGTTCCCTGACGCATCAAAATTCCTAGCAAGTAGGCCGCCTGAAAAAGAAGTACGGTACATGTAAGGACATCTGCGCCTAATGCGGGTGAACAGTTGCTTCCTGGAGCCTGTCTTTGTCTGCCTTGACAAGTGGACATTGCGCGACTCGCGGCCAGCTTTGCAGCCAGCTCTTCAAAGAAAGGGCTGGCCTGTCCGCGTAGGTTTGTGTCAGTCCATGAGTGGGAATTCCAGCAATGGCTCCAGCTGCGTCCGCCTCTCGGAGGAGATGCGTTGCAGCAGCTCTCAGCACTCCAACCCGGCTCCGCCATCCTCAACCAGCTCACAACACCAAATTGGAGTTTCCCAAAATTATGGGTACCTTTTTGGGGGTCCCCATAATAAGGATTATAGTATATTGAGGTCTATATTGGGGTCCCCTTATATTGGGAAATTACCAAATTGGAGCTCCAATGGACTGTTGATCCGACTTGTTGCAGCCAAGCCCCGTAGACCTTCAAATCGAAGAGCCAATGTATTCTCGTCATCATCCCTCTAGACTCTACTCGCAGATCTAGACCCGAATCTCCAAATCCCAACCATATACAACTTATATAAACTAAAAAGAAAACTAGCCCTGAATCCACATCCCTATTCCCTATTCCCAAAACCTTAAACCCTACGTCCCAACCCGGTCCAAAAGTCAAGTTGAGTCCTCTTTTCTCTTGCAGAAGGTCTGCGATATTCCTGTCGTCACCTCTGGCGACGTCCTTCCGCAGGTCTGGGCTGCAAAGGGGTTGCCCGAAAAATATTTCACTTTCAGGAGTTGGGTTTACCTAAACCCCAAAAGTATGTAAAATAATAGCCCTAAACCCCTAATAATAGCCATAAAGGCTATTATTTTACATACTTTTGGGGTCTAGGTAGGGTTTAGTAAAAGTCTGGGGATCGAGGTTTTCAGGGTTTGGAGCTCAGGGTTTGGGTTCAGGGCTTTGGATTCAGGATTTTGGGTTCAGGGTTTAGGAACTGCAGTGTGAGGAGGGGTTCCGCAGTCATGGTGCCGGCTTACTGATGCTGATTCCTGTTCTGTTTTACAGAGGGTTACGCGCTGTGTTCAAGGCTGCGAGATGTCTCAAAGACCCTGTAGGCTCTTTGGGCAGAAGTGATGTACTGGGCGGGTTTCCCCTGGATTAAATATTAAGGAAGCAGGAAACCTTCAAATAGATCATGTAGTAATGTAGAGTTCTAGGTAACTGTCATACAGCCGGCACCCACACACAAACACTTACATAGTGCGGTCTTCCCAAGCAGTCAGTGGATTGATGCAAGCCCCAGCTTCCACACAACATGTATGTTGCTACGTGGGTTGTTCTCAACTATGGGCCCCTTTTGGTTATAGATAAGTTTAGGAGTACCAAAACAAAACAGGACCCAAATTTTGGGAACTACCCACGTGGAGTGCCCAATAATCCAAAACCTGTACATCTGGTCAAAGAATTAAAGAGCAGCGGTGGCAAAAAAACTCGCTGCTCCCGCGACTTTCCGCCCTGTGGCTGACAGGGTCACGGAGCTATTACTTGGATTCAAACCCAACATCATGGCAATTCCCAAATAGCAAAACCCTGGACATGTTTAACCTAAATGTCCCTTCAGACAGCCTTGAGGCATGGGCCCTATGATGCCTTGCGCTCAACCTCCAAAGCCCAACTTGAGGTGACAGTCTTGAGCAGCTCACAACAGCCGAAATGGGAGGTATTCTTCGCCGTCCGGGGCTCATATGAGCTTTTAATACGAGGGTGTCCCAGCTTTGCAAACTCGTCCTCTGGTTGGGAGTTGGATGAGAACCCCAGCGGCGTATGGGTCGCAGCTCTCAGGGATGCTCAAGGTTCAGGCTGTTCCACGCGAGGGTTTCGGCTTCAGTGCTGTGCAGCCTAGGCTTTCCATCGGCTAGAAATTGGCTCGATGTCATGTTGATTTCATTTCGTCAGGATCATGGTAGGAGGGTTGTGGGTTTCGGGCTCACGGCTGCGAACTTAAGGTTGTAGCATGTATGCCTTGAGGTTTTGGCTATGGATGTGTGATATAATGTTCACTGGGTTTACTGTAGGGGTTCGGTTGTTTTGCTTTTGGGCTTTACAGTTTGGGCTTGCATGGGGTTTGGGCTTGCACGGGGCTGTTTTTGATGGCCTGCTTAGGAAGGAGCTTCGCTGCATGATCTCTACTTAGTCTTTGGGGGTACCTCTTGCTAGAAACCCCTTCTAATGCTCATACCTCTAGGACCTCTTGTGCTGTTTGAAAAGACTGCCTAAACCTCCAAAGCCTCATCCTTATACTGAATCTCATATGTGACATATACCCAAGAGATTTGGTCACCCCTGCCCCACCAGTCCTGTGACATCCTTTCTTTTCATCCGGAAGATCTCCTTGGGTAAGCTTCAGATACCCCAGGAGCGCGTGGTGTGGCCCTTTGTGGCGTTGATCTTCTGCTCGATTATTGTGTAGCTTGGCATTGCATTGCATAGGGTGTGGTGTCTAGTTTGGGGGTAAGGGCTTGGCGCATGCCAGCGCCTGTAAGCACCAAGGGTTCAAGGAGACTCTGAGATTCAGGTTTGCACTTAGTTTGTGCAATTGGTTCTCAAACTGGTACATACGAAGAGCACTCGTATGTGTATCCCAGGCAGTTCCTAACCCCTTGGCATGACGTAATGTTGACCTTTTACGAATAGACCCAGGCCTGCGCTCGCAACCCTGACAAGAGTAGAACTTGGTGCCAGCCCCTAAAACATCAGGTGGTAGAAACATCGCTATCAGTCGGGGTGAAGACACCAACAGTTACTAACCCCTTGGCTGAAACCAAAAATGATCAAACATGTAGATATTCATGTAGTAATCAAGCAGAGACAGGCAATACCTACAGTAGGCAGAAGTACCACAGAAAGAAGAGTCTCAAGCCCATGCTCAACGCTCAACACTAATAGCAACACCAGTGATACTGGCATTGGTACGTGCAATGAAGCTCAACATGGGTAGAAATCATCACAGTCAGTTCCCACTTTTTCACAAAGTGGAGACTCAAGATAGTCTGCCCTTGTAGTGCTTATGTGGTTGTAGGCTACCTTGCCCTGGAGCAAAGCTACCAGAAGATTGAAGATCCCAACACTTATTGTCCACCTACAATAACATGCCCAATGTATAGCTGCATGTCTGCGTAGATGTGTGTATACATAGATAGGTGTATGATTATTGTGACGTATTTTATGAGTCGGGGGTCTTTACTGGTTGCGGGTTGGGGTGCTTATCGCTGTAGAGGGAAAGGGGATACGACCATCGGCCCGCAGGAGGTGCATCAAGCCGATCTACATTCGTTTGAGGCGGAACAGCCGCAACTTCAGGCAAGCCTTCCTGCAGTCGGGTTTAGGGTTTATGCGTTGCGGCAAGGCTGTAGGTTGAGTTTGGATGGTTCAGAGGCTGAGGGAGTAGGATAGGGCTCAAGGATGTTGGGGTTTGCCGAGTTTTGGGGGCTTGGGGTTCAGCGCTGGTTGCTTGAGTCATTGTAGTTCATACAAGTGGTAGGGTTATCTTACANNNNAGATGCATATTCTCACCGGCTGATGGGTGATAACCCCGGCGCTAGTAGCGTTTTTCGGAGGTGTGCTTCGATAGCTCAGGGTGTTTGGTTTGCGGATGTATCTTTTCAGGCCTTGCAAGCCGTACGGGCTTTCAACTCTAAGTCCAAGTGTTGAGAGACTTCATGGTTTGAATGAAGGATCCTTGGCGTCATGCAAGAACTGTTATCCAAATTGGAAAGGCTCACGTCCGGTTGCCCTGAATGTCCCTTGTGCAGGTACTATCTTCTGGTCTATGTGTGGCACTCAGACATGTCAAGCCCAGACACGATGCGACGATTCCAGAGAGACCAACACAGCTAGCTTTGATAGTTTTCGGATGTTGGGAGCGGTGTCAGGAATCTTTCGGGATATGCACTACTCCTCTTTCTGAGTGGCCATCCATAGATCACGGCAATCTGCTTCGCGAAATTACGGTTGAGCTGTGGAATGTGACTGGTTGTTTAAGTTGCAATCCCTCATGTGCATGACGCAGAGCAGCGACAGGCATAATTCCAGAGGCGCAAGCAGCTCACAAACCAACATGACAACTCACGCCACATGCGCTCAATATTCCGCAATGCAGAAATCAGCCTCTAAACAGGATGCATCGCGTGGCCCACGTTTTCTTGTGGTCTAACC